GGGGGGGGGGGGGGGTGTTAAGGGGGAAAAGAAAAAAAATTCTGCAGGAAAAAGGGCACCCAGACTTGCATTGCTTTCCTCCCTTTCTCTGACCACTGAAATCCTGGGTCAGTTTTACAACGTGCTTAGAAGATTCTTGGATACATAATGGGACTTATTATGTTAATCAAACTTAAAAATATATATTTTAAATATATTCTACATTGCCATGTATAATGGAAACTACATATTGATTTAAAAAGTGATCACTAATTTAAAAAAAAAGTGATTGTTGATTAAAAGCAGCTTTACTGCTGTACATTATTTCCACTGGTATTCCATGGCTTAACATCAAATTTAAACTACAATATCTCAATGAACAAAAGCCCCTGAATCTGCCTGTGGATGGCCCTTAAAAAGGATCAAAATAATTTACTTACATGTAGTAACTGCTTTTTTTAAAATTTAATATTTTGGGGAGCAAACAGTACACAGTTCTGAAGTTTTTAGTTGTCAATAGCAAATGCTCATAGGCAATGATTAGCAAATGTGCTCTGAGCATGGATGGATCCTGGATTTCTTAAAGGGGGCTGTGGGAGCAGTGCCCTGCACTGCAGGAGTGGCTGTACCCCAATCCCAGGACAGGCAGTGTGCATCACAGGAGCAGCAGTAGGGACTTCAAGTTCTTGAGCAGGTAGGAATCTTCCCTCCCCTTCCAAGCTAAGCAGCACATCCCCTCCCCAACTTTCCATTCTCTCCACACCACCCCCGCCTCCTGTGCTTCTGTTGCCCCCAGCTGACCTGGAGAGGGGAGGGGGCCCTGCAGGTGAAGCTAGGCCCAGCCAGAGCAGCAGTGACAGCAGGGGCTCCCTTCCCCTGTGCCAGCAGTGTAACAATGCAGCTAGATGCCTGGGGCAGCTGCTGCACATGAGGGCAGTGGCGATTTTCCAATTGTCAATGCTTCCACAATTGCACAGCTGCAGCAAATACCATTTTTTCTGCCCCTCTGGCCTCCTTTAACACCCTAGACAGATGCTCCTGTTGCCCCACCCTAGGTACGCCACCGTCCTGTGCCTGCTCTTGGGCTAGCCGGGAACACTGGAAGATGGGGCAGGGTAGAGGGTCCTGCCTGCTGTTGCCACTGAGCCCAGCTCTATGTGGAGCACAGCTGGAGCAGGCAGAAGTGGTTCTGGAGCCCCCTTGATTTGCTGGGCAGCCAGGAAGGGTGAGGGAAGGAGGAGGAGAGGGGATATGCTGCTGAGCATGGAGGGGAGGGAAGGGGGAAAATTCTTATTTGCTTTGGGAACTGTAAAAAAGTCCCTGGGTGCTTCCCCTCTGTAGTCATTGACTGAAAGGGAGATGCATGCATGCTATTGCACCCCCTCCAGATCTATCCCTGTCTCTGAAACTCTGTTAGGCTTCTGCATGCATTTCATCAACTTTTTAATTATATAGTTCCATAGCATGCCATGCTCTGCAGTCTTATATTAACCCAATTAATGTCATTTGGTCAAAAACAATTAAACTGGTGTTCACGTGTACAATGCCACGTCCCCATATATTTCCAGTTGACTCTTGCTAACTTGCATACACTTGTTTTTTGTAAAAAAAAAAAAAAAAAGGTCTGCCCCCTCATTTGCCAGCCAAGAGGAGTTAGTAGTATAAAAACTTATTACTGCAATTTCATTACGATAAAAATGTTACAGTTTATTAGACCAAGTTTTGAAACTAACTTGCAATTGTCAAGTTAAATCAAGCACCTTAAGCAAGTTATTTTATCAAGCACTAATATAGTAAGCCACGTTTGCTAGTTCTGAAAATTAGATCATCTATCAAGGCCTCCCAGTCAACTGTATGAATTAGTAATGCTCTATTTGCACATTTGGGTCTAAGTAATTATATAGCTTATGGTATAAATTTCAACCTGACACACATTATATAAAACTATAATTTATGCTTCATGAGTGGGTGTCACCAAGCCTAATGGTACTCCAAAGGAGCAGAGCAGAAAGCCTATGGGTGCTATGAACAGGGACACTTTTTTTTTAAACCACTAAGGTGAACAGGCTCAGACTAGATAATTAAAAAAAAATGAGCTTAATATCTGGAAAACATGGCTGACAGACAGCTCTAGGGACTGGAGTGCTCTAATGGCAGGAAACAGCATGCAACAAGTAACAGCTTGTAGACAGCAAAGAGATGGGTTCCAAGAACACAAATCACCAAATACCAGGAGACTAGCTCAACTTGTTTTTGTTTTTTTTTCAGACTCTGATTCAGAGCACTTAAATATGTGTTTACATTCAAAGTATGTGTTTGTACTTAGTTTTTCTTCAATATAAGTTAAGCACAAGCTGAAGTGTTTTGTTCACTGGGTTCCCAATCCTTGGTTCCTCTGTTTAAACTGCCAGACAGGGTGTCAACTGAGTTGGTAGTATGTCAGGCACATATCAATCTACCAGGAAGAGAAGAACTCATTTGCAGAGACTAAACCACCAAAAGGCAGCAGCTTTCAGTTGTACCAACCCAGGCTTGCTCTGGGTACGTGATCTAGGGGCAAGAGGTTTCTGCTCCTATTCTTAAACTATCCGGTACCATGCATTAGAACTCTTCAGATTCTTTCCTATCACTATCTACTTTTTATCTAGTACTTTTTATCTATAAATCTCAAAATGCTGTATAAAGGAGCTTAGCATCAGCATTGCCTCTAAGCTGTGTGGTGTGCACGGCCGTGCAGGCGCGCCTGGCAGCGCGGCATGAGCGCGCCTGCATGGCCACACACGCCATGCAGCTTAGAGGGAATGCTGCTCAGTATCTTTATCCCCAATTCATACACAGGGAAACAGTGAAGCATGTGAGCTCACCCAAGGGTTGCCCTACAGATCAATGCCAGTGACTGGAAAATAAGATCTCCCAAGATCCAGGTCTTTCATATTTCTGTGACCAACTACCTTTCTACCCTCTGACAACTGACAAAAAACACTGCAGCCTCAAATGCTTCATAAATTAAATTGTGTGTGTGTACAGAAGACTCAAAGTACAAAATATGCAAAACATTTCCAAAACTTCCCTGTACTAATGCATTTGCTTTTTAATTATGGACATTCATTTGTGAAGTATGAAAAGCAGGCTTCCCGGGAAATTGTCATGTGATCAGGATTCTTACCGCACTGAACAAAACATTTATTACACACCTCTTCCGTATACTCCTGTTTACTAAAGGTTTTTTTGGAACTCATATTTCTAGGGGTAACCCAACAATAAGGAAGTGTACAAAGTGTACTTTGGCTTCCTGACTAATTTCCTCTCACACTCTGAGAGGAAGGAAAGTTATTTTCTTAACTGTTTCAGAACATGAACTAGACTGATGTTCTAACTTAACTGCTACATAAGTATAGTAAGTCAGTGAAACATGTACCTGTTTCATTCCTGTGTGCAAAAAACAGAAGTCAGCAATACTGTAGCAAACATTTACTAGTTGGTATAGAGTGGCCACCTTTTTTGGCAGGCATGCCACAAATTAACCCCGCGCCCTCCCCAAGTGCCACTCTGAGCCCCTTCCCCTGCCCAACTGGCTTCTTTGCTTTCTGCTCCCTGCCCTGTGCTGCCTGCCTGATCACTGCTCTGCTTTCCTGCCCTATCTACTGCTGCGCTGCCTGACCCCTGCCCAGTCTGCTGTGTGGCACACACAAGCTGCCCATATCATCTGTGGCACACAGGTTGCAGGTTGGCCACCCTGATATAGATAAAGCAGACAGACAAATACACTCATCAGAGTAAATAAAGAGGTCTAATGTAGATTTTTCCCCTTGCATAATAGGCATACCAAACTTAGCAAGTCCCATCTTGGATGCTTTGATAATTTTGCCCCAGTTTTCTAGCTGGCTTCAAGCAAGGCCTAGAGCAGGGGTCAGTAACCCCCAACATGCGTGCCGAGCATGGCACATGAGGCCATTTTGCTCGGCACGCCACAGTCAGTCCCGGCTCTGGGTAGCTACTGCCAGCGATGAAGCCCGGGCGGCTCCCAGCAGGGCTTGCAGTGTCCCAGCTGCCTGCTGGGAGCAGCCTGGGCTCCCGGCTGGCAGCAGCTACTCAGAGCCAGGGCAGGCTGCAGCCAGGAGGCTCCAAACAGCTGTTCCAGGCTCTGGCATCAGCTCCAGACCAGTGCGTGCATGTGTGCCTTGGAGCGCGTGGTGGGGGAGGAACCAGAGGCAGCGCAGCCCTGGTCTCTCCCCCACGCCCAGCACAGAGGTGATGGCAGGCTTCTGGAGCCCAGTGCAGCTGTTTGCAGCCAGCCCAGGCTCTGGGCAGCTGCAGCAAGCTGCAAACAACTGCGCTGGGCTCCACAGCTCCAGCACCAGCTCTGTGCTGGCAGCGACTGCACGGGCACCTCAGGGCAGACAGCAGGGCAGCGCAGCCTGCCCCAAGGTGCCCATGCAGTCACTGTCAGCACAGAGCTGATGCTGGAGCTGTGGAGCCCAGCGCAGCTGTTTGCAGCCTGCCTGTTGCTTGCTGCATCTGCCCAGAGCCCGGGCTGGCTGCAAACTGCTGCGCTGGGCTCCAGAAACCTGCCATCACCTCTGTGCTGGGAGTGGGGGAGTGTCCAGGGCTGTGCTGCCTCCGGTTCCTCCCCCCCACCCGATCCGAAGCACACGTGCACGCATTGGTGTGGAGCTGATGCTGGAGCCCGGAACAGCTGTTTGGAGCCTCCTGGCTGCAGCAGGCCCTGGCTCTGGGTAGCTGTTGCCAGCAGGCAGCTAGGATGCTGCAAGCCCTGCTGGGAGCAGCCTGGGCTCCAGCAGCTACCCAGACCCAAAGTGAAACAAGGTGGGGGAGGTACTGGCAGCCACAGAGCCTGGGCTGGGTGGCAGGGGCTTTGGGTGGGGGGCAAGAGGCAGCAGGGCATCCTGCCATGTACCCTTTGCCCTCATTTTGTTTTTCTGCCATGTTAGCACTCCAGCACCTTCCAAGGTAGGCACTGTGGTGTTTTTCAGCACTCCGGCCAAAAAATGTTGCCTACCCCTGGCCTAGAGCCATTAAGTGAAATGTCCAAGGGAACAATAAATTAAAAGGCTTGGTTTATATTTCATTAAAATCCATATAATTCCAGGCTTCTGTTAGGCCAACTATTTTTAATAACTGACCAATTTTAAAGGTAGTGAAATATTATCAATGTATTGAAATATAATGATGTAGCAAGCTGAAGGCTTAATACAAGTACAGTTGGAAAATGGCCCTAATAACTTGTCTCAAACACATCAGCATTATCATGATGCTTTTCAAATTGTACATGTGTCTTCCCTTAAAGGAACAGCTGTTTTACCTGTGCACATAATGTAGCTCATGTATGGAATGTATAGCAAGCACCATTTCACCAATGTAGAACCTGGCCATATCTTCTGGAAGTCTGTCTTCAAACTTACTGAGAAGTGTCAGCAAATCACCACCCACATAGTAGTCCATTACTAAGTACTAAAAAACAAACAACAACAAAAAGATCAGTGGAACACTGGGGTACAAGTTCATAAACAGATGATAAATAAAATCTAGTGGCTCACTGCTGAACAAGAGATCAAGAGGCAGCAGAAATGGATAACAGTTTTATGTACCCATTAATCATAGTTGAAAACTTAGTAGAAAATATTTCTGATTTTCCTTAATACAATCAGACTAAAGTTACAACTGACAGCACTTTAAAGCCATCTCAAATTTAGTTACTGAAATACAACAGAAATTATACACAAAGGAGAACTATGACAGTGATTCAGGACCAGCCAGTTTAGCTGAAAAGAAGCAACATAAAAAAACCCAGTTTCTTTCAGAGGGAGTCTTACCAAAATCTTATCTAGATTAAGAGCTATTGATTTGTGAGGATTTCTAATATCACAGAAGAGAGGAAATCATTTTGTAACAGAGGTGCACTCATATCGGACTGGCACCAATAGAGGTCACATATCGGATTGGCACCGATGACAGAAAAATGAACATTATTGGCAATTGGCTTTTTTTTGGCCGATGTCACTAACAAATCCCATGTGCATGTGTGCAGCTGCAGCTTGCACATGACCAGAAATGCAGCTGGACAGCTTGGACAGCAGCGGCTTTCTGTTAAGTCTTTGGGAGGGAGGGGCATGGGGGGAGGAAGGGGAGTGGCAACTGAGGCCCCCACGGTGAGGGAGGTCGTAGGGCAGGAGCAAGGGTAGGCACTTACCAACAGGACTGGGAATATGACCCTGGGGCCAGGAGCAGGACAGAGCCATGGGCAACTCCCTGCCGCTGCGCGCACCCCTGGGGAGGCATGGGAAGCACGTGCCTCCCTAGATCTGTGCAGAAATGGAGCCAGGCAAACTCTTTACAACTGTACTGGTTGAGGTTACATGACATGGCATTACCAGGCTGATAAGTAACGTCAGTAGAAAAATGTCAAGTAATAAATAATGCATCAGCAGGAAATTCACACACTCCAAGAGTAAGAGGGGCAGAAAGGAAGTTCAGACTCCATTCCTGCCCAGCTGTAGGCTTCTCTACCGAAAGAGCTCATGGGCATATTTGATATGGATAAGACAAAGAAAAAGAACTTATAATCACAGTTTGTTGCATGCACATGTACACAGCACAGAAAAGATTTTTTTTTTTTAAGTGTTTTTCTGGCACTGCCTAACTGAACAGGAATTCAACCCATGACCAGTGACAAATGCATACGTTTCCTATTACTAATACTGAGACACTCTTTCACATTTCCTCCCATTCTGTGACAAAGCTTTAAGAACAATCTTGGTAAAAATCTACTTTATAGAATAAGCAAAGCAAATCCTTCATTTTATTGCAGATGGAAGCAAGCTCATCTCCAGCATCACTCAAGGAAAGTAAAATTAAACCAACAGAACCCTAAAATACAAGAGAAGGCAAAGAATGCTGCCTGCTTATTTTTACTCAAATTTTTGCTAAAGAGAAACTATGTAAAGGATAGGGTGAAAGAGGCATAGTTCACTGATCTCCACACAGTTCTACGTGTAGCTTTCCTTACACCTAGGGTGAGTTTATTTATTATAATATCAATCAATGTGCTGCAATTGTACATTCTGGAATTTCTAATATGCATTAGGAATGCTGCATGAGACAAATATGAACTCAAGCAGAAGCGAGGTGTTATGCAACCTCAAATCAGACCCAAGACAGATAGTGGGACTTCTATTATAAGACCATACCTGAGGCTGGGTAAACAACAGGGGTGTGCAAAGCAGGCCATATTTAATTCGGATTTGGATACGGCCCAAATCAGAGACAGTGATTTGATTCGTTGATTTGGATCACTGTCCCTGATTTGATTAGTTTGAATCCGAATCTGAAGATTCGATGCCGATTCAGAGAATCAGCGATTAGGAGAGATATGGCTTTACAAACTTTTTCTACAAACCTTGAGGTAGCAGGTGCAGCCTGTGATCGCTGCACTGCTGGGGTGCATGGAGCATCTCACAGGAGTGTGGGGGGCCCTCCATGTGCTTGGTGGCAAACCCGGAAGTGGACTGGAAGTGCACTTCCAGGTCTGCTGCTAAGCGTGCTGGGGAGCCCCCTGCACTTGTGGGACACTCCATGCAGCCCAGCATCACAGCACTCACGAGCCCCTGCTTCCTAGGGGTACGTAGAAAAAACATTTAAAGCTGTGTCTGTGTCCAAATCTCTGAATCGATTCAGATGGTTCCGAGAGATTAAAGAGTCCTCTGATTCGATTCAGAGATTCAGCCACTGAATTGGGCCGAATGTCCACTGAATTGAATCAGGGACTGAAGCTTCGCTCAGCCCCAGTAAACAACATAAGCTTACAAAAATCACTGATTAGAAAATAAACAAAGCTCAGAATGCCACCAAATTGCATCTTGGTATCTGTCAACTATCTCTGTGTTCATTTATGAAATTGTGTCATTCCTACACTGTGTAGGTGATGTCCTCCTCTCCACAAGACTTGAGTCCCTGCACGGGGGAGCTACAGAGAAAGGTACTAGACCACATGAATATACATCTTGGAGCAGCTCTTTCCTGAGAAACACCCATTCAGCACATGAAACCAATGAGAATAGTACCAAGAACCTGTGAAAACCTTCAGCAGAGGGAACCACCCAAGAGACACCCTCATGTCATTCCTCTCAGATTCTTTTCCCAGATGGCAGGAACCGAAGAGAAAGGGCTTTTTGCAATACAGTTTTTCCTCTGAGAAGCTTCGATGGACATGAATTAGGAGGGGCCTCATAATTCTTTGAATTTTGTTTTCATTAAAACCTATTAGAACCTTGTTTTTTTCCAACACTGCTCCAGGTACGACTCTGCAGTCATGGAAGTTGCAGCAATGCAATACGTAGGCAACCAGCATGGACAGTCAGTTCATACAAGACATGAGTGAAAAGAGCTACAGTAATCTGAATGTCTTAATTCCTACAGCAAGTTAGGGAGCTACTGGGAAAAGCTTCCTATTTTAAAGGTATGTGAAAACTTCACTTACTAGCACACTCTTTCACATTTCATGAAGTATATGCAAACAGATAGTTGCACTTAAAGTTAAATGTACTATTGGAAGATTAGATCAGTGTAAACAAGAAATAAAAACTCTTAAAACCCAAGGTCACTGCTGATTAAAATAAGATGGCTGTTTTTGTCGAGAGAGTAATATTCTGTCCTATATTTATTTCACTGATTATTAAAAGAATATACTGTAGTGAATGGTAGTCTTACTAAACTCCACTCCTCTCATTACCAGTAGAGTCTCCAGTTAGTGCAAAACTGAAAAGCATAATACCTATAGTTTAAATAATTTTGGTGTAGCACTACAGCTGATCTAAAAGAATATATATCTAAGCATGGGGTAGGCAACCACCTCCAGCTGCAAGCTGGAATGACCCACCACAGGTCAGAGACGGGGCTGGGTGGGCTCTAGGACATGCCTACTGCCAATGCTCATCCTCACGAAGGCATGGGGAAAGTGCCTGCTACTGGTGGCCCCCACTGGTGAATACTGCTGCAGACCTGCATCCCTGCACCAGATCCAATGGTTCAGTAGGCTGTAGGCTGCTGACCCCTAACCTAACTGGCACATTTTTTTCCTTTTTTAGCAGCATCTTGTGCCCTTGTCTCTTTCTTCTACATACAGTATTTTCTTTCTTGCGGTCCTTCCCCAGTATCTAAGTAAATTTTTGCCTACAAAAGCTCATACCTCTCTAAACCAGCTGATCTAAGGTGTCAACCTGCCTTCTGCCCATCTTCAGGCTAGCACAGCAAGCCACCTGTCTGTCATGTCCTCATTTCACAAGGTAAAAAAAAATTCAACATTTTAAATTTCTCGATCATTAAAGACTGCTGCTAATTAGTAAGACTAACATTTCATCTTTTCTAGAGCTAAATGCCTCCCTTGGAGATGAATTGAAGACACCGATTTAGAATGAGTAGTAGCTAGCAGTTGTCCTTAGTGATTTTATAAATATATTAAAAATAAAATATTTCACTTATGTCATAATACGTCTTGGGAATTAAATCATTCAGAAGGGTTTTTTTTTGTTTTTTTTTTTGCGGTTCTTCAGTTTGTATGTAGTTCATAAACTATCACATAATATTTAATTTACCACATATCCAATAAAGTAATATAAAAAGTGTGGAGGCAGCGGGAGGTAAGGAAGGGAATATATTTTTAAAATGCCATAAAATAATATACATTAAAAAAATTAAAAGTAACGATAATGAATAGATCCTATTTTTGTTTTGTTTAGTGGTTTGTTTTCAAACTCAAATATTCATCTAATTATATTGTAGGTGAATTCTGAAATTTCAGTTAAAATATTTTTTAAATAAAAACATTATTTCTCTAGAATCTGTTTTGCCCAAATTGACAAAAATTCTTTACTTAGTTTTGCAAAAAGTGTTGCAAAAAGTCTTTTCCATGAATCCACAAAGAACCACTTGAAAGAAAAGTTTCTGACCAATTCTAATAAAGTCTGACCTCATGGACCTTAGCCTATACTAGAAAAACTAGTTGCTGTATAACAGCAACTGTCAACAATGGCACAGCTGTCTGGTGCCAGCAACAGCTTGTTTAGACAAAGGCTCAAGAACAAGAACACGTATTACTGTCAGAAGAACCTGCTCTGAACAGTTTTTCATGAAATGATAGCAGAAATGTCTGGCCCACATCTAAACGAGTATATTGCTGCTCATTGTTACGTTACCATGCAAGTTTTCTCATGTCACTACACCCTCTAAAGCAACACAGTAGAATATTTCATGATAGTATGCTTCCTTGTGATTGCTTCAGGCTTACCCAGAAAGGCAAATTCTAGATGAATATTTGAGTCTGAAAACAAACCACCAAACCAAACAAAAACAAGTATGAAAAAGCTTCAGCTGAGAGAAGTGGCATGGGAGGTGGTCTGAAAGGCATAAGTCTAATTTTCATCAACTAAAAGTACAGTTGAACTTGTAAGAAAAATCTGTTTCTGTCACAGACATGGTTACCTGTTACATAGTGCACTTCCCTGCATATAGTACTCCTATATATACACTATGTGCACCTTGTTTTCAGAAGGCGGTTTGAAAAAAAAAAAATGTCTGAACAACAGATAGAGTAGCAGCAGCTAGGGAGCTGAGGCCATGGGCCATGGGGTCCAACTGTGAATCAACCCTGCACAAGGCCATATCATCCAGCTGTGGGGATCCCCATTTCTTACATATAATGTGCACCCCAATTGCCGCTAACTGGTTCTGGGGAGAAAGGTGCAGGTTAATCATTTTTATTTCTCTCTCTCATGTTAATGCCATCATATTGTTTGGATATATCTAGAGAGTGTGTGTGTGCGCGTGCGCATGCACATGTCATACACACAAAATCTAGATCTGCTTTTTTTCTACTCTTATTACAGTAGTATATTTCTATTTATAATCTGTTATGTTACTTTTTTAAGGCACTATAAATTTGAAAGATCCACCCCTGGTGTCATGTAATATTGCCTTTAATTTTAATAACGGTAGCAAAAAAGCATGTCTAGATCATCAGGCAGTCCCTTCCAGTCTACTGAGGTTCACCGGAGTCAAAACAATTCCTGATGGTCAGAACAGTATAAGTTAGACAAAGCAGTAGTCATGAATGTAGTAAATGTAATAAATAGCTACTATGTAATACATAGCTGTTTTTTTAAACATGACAGCTCTATACTTTTTGACTTAAAAAAAATCAAGTGAAAACCTGCAAATGCCACTTACTTGAATAATGGTTTATAGAAAACATACTGTGATTTTATAATACAGAATCTTCATTAAGAATGATTAAATGCACTTTTCCAGATCTTACAAGTATTAAAATTAAGTATTTCAGATAAAATACATTCTACCACTGTCATCTGTTTGAAGTAACCTCTCACGTACAATAAGAAGTTGTAAAGAAAACCTTTGTTCAAAGACAATTGGGCATTTTAAGCACTACAGTTCAGTAAAATCTTTTAAAACCCCCAACAACAGTGATTCAGTGAGGGTTTCTTTGGAGGTAAAGAATATATCAAATCAAATACTATTCAAATTTTAATTTTGTGACTAACTTATGACAAATATATCCATGATGACAGATTAACCTATCTGAGGTGATATACAGGCTAATATACATAGTGTACTTTATTTAGAGCCACATGAAACTTCTCTCACTATCCCAGAATTATTATATTCAGTCCTTTTTTGCATTCCCTTTAAGGGAAGAACAGTGGTGAAATCTTGCAGCAAGAAAAGAAGAAAACTGATTTAGTGCACCAATATCCTCAAGCTTATCAGGAAAAGAATAATGACATAAAGCTTTGTTTTTACTCGCAAATCAAACATACCAGATAGTTCTCATCTTGAAAGGCATAGTGCAATGTAGTAATCCACTGACAGTCTCCATTCACCAAAACATTTCTCTCTTCTCGGAAACAAGCTGTCTAAAAGAAAGGAAAAAAGGCATCATTAGAATCCATCAGTCTCTGCAGGATGCATATATATGCATGTTTTATAGGATTATTTAAAATTTCTGAACAGAGGTCTCTATTCATTGGAATTTAGTCTGCACGAGTGGCAAGGCAGTGAATCTCTGCAGGCTTCTGTAGTTAGGCATCCAGTCATCTTAAGCCTGGCCAATGTCCTTTTTAAAGCAAATTAACTTGAGTCACTGAACTCTTCTGTTCCCCAATGTACTTTGAAAAAATATGCTTATATCCCATTGCAATCTGTAGCAAAATTACAATGGCAGGAGAGTTGAGCTTATCCTTCTTGCACAGGATCTGTGTGAAAAAAGTAGCTATACAACAGCAACTTACCATGCTAGTTTCTCATAATGCCTTCAAGAGAACCTCCCGATATAAAATAGCACAGGGAAGCAGTGAAAACCTGCTGTTCCCCACAACGTCTAGCACATTTCTAAGAATTAAAATTCATTTAAGATTTTATTTTTACTAGCCATCTTGGATCAAAACATCAATTACAATTGTGTCCTTGTGATTCTTCCACTAATATTAGGTTTAGACTGCAATTATGGCTATGCTATTACATTTGTATAGTGTTTTGCAGTCTCAGTTTTCATTTAAAAAAATCTGGGAATTTTTCAGGGTTCATCTTCAAAACACAGAAACTGGGACACAAATCAGGATAAAAAGGAAGAAAAAGACAAAAATCAGTTTAAAAATCAGGGGGGAAAAAATCGACAGTGAAGGAGGAGGGAGTAAGGCTGGGACTACGGAAGGGGCAGGGGGAGGGACACAGCGCAGCCTACTGGCCGCTCCCAGGGCTGCAGCAGGGAGCAAAGCAGGGGAGCTGTCAGGGGGTGCAGGTGCACTGTGCCAGCCTCTGTTTGGGGGTGCGGGCACCTGGATTAGTGGCAGAAAGCACATGGCGCTGTGTCCTGCCTTTCTTCCCTGGCTGCATTTGTGCCCCTTCACCCTGCTGAAGCAGCCTGCTGCCAGGCTGCCCTGGTATTTGCAGGGGAGTGGCAGGCAGCTGGATAGGGGCTTAGAGGGGTGGACCCGACCCTGGCACCAGCACCTCCCGCCCCGCCTGGGGTCATAGCCGGGAATCCCACACCCACAGATAGCAGGTCCAGCCCCACAGGTCTGTGTGGAGCGGCTGGGTGCAGTGCCTGCTGCAGGGAGTGGGGCCAGGCTCTCCTGCCTTCTGCCTCCCCCAACCCCCCAACAACAGGGCTTGCAGCTCCCAGTGCCTGGGGCAGGGCCGAAGCTGTTGGAGTACAGCTTGGACCTGCCTGCCCCGAGAGTGATCCCCATGGCCTGTCCCACCCACCTGGGCAGCAGCTCCAGACCCTTGTGTGGCACCCCCACTGCCCTCCATGCAGCTGCCACCACCGCCCCCCACGACATCCGGCTAGAAACCTATGCCTCAGGTAACCAGGACAGTGGCACTTTTTAGCTTACAAGCACCACCCATTTTTTCAATTCAAATCCCTGTTAACTGGCATGAGTGGGGAATGGACCATTCCCCACTCATGCCAGTTAACAGGGATTTGAACTGAAAAATGGGCCTAAATCAGTAAAAACTGAGTGACTTTGAAAAAAAAAATTGGTAAAAACTGAGAACGCGGAACACTACTTATGTATTTTCTTTATTTGCCTGGCACATCAAGAAATGCTTGGTCTCTAGAGAAGAAGTTTACTCTAGGTGAGGATTTATTTATCCAAGAAGATACGCACATCTCAGCACACCTGAATCTTACACTTTACCACTGTCAGTTTAGGATTTTGTGCTAGCAAGTCTTAACTTGTGATTCCCAATAGAATGAATGCGCTGTAGCCGTATCAGCATGCCAAATAGCTATTTATGCTACAGGAAGTCAATATGTCTTAGCATTAATAACCACTCATTTTTAAGTGTTTATTGGCATTTCTACATGTGCTGTGAATCAGAATGTTATTTATGCAAGTACTATTCCTTTTAACACTTACTGAACGAGACAATGGACTAGTTATGCAGAAGTCACTCTGCATCATAGTGATTCTGTCTGGTTTTAAGATCTATAAATACATGGCTATTGTCTCAGCTTCCACAGTTAGTTATATCCATATCTTAACATGCACATAAGAAACCTCTTTAGTAACCATGATAAATAAGCCCACTTATTTGAAATAAGATGGGGACAATGTGAACAGTCCTAAATCTGTCCCTAATGAACAATGGTGAAAGTTGTTATACTGCATCTACATAAGTGGCATGACTAATTTTGACTGGAAACACATTTACAGGTACTAGTTGGAGGTTGATAAATCAAGCTCCACAGTAGTTTGCTCATTTTATGCTGCCTTGTTCCTCTTACAGTTAATATAAGAACATATATTACTCTAATGCACTATTGTTATGCTTAATGAATTATACAATATTTCTTGTTGCAAAACAGTGAGCATTAACCAGCCCAACACATTCACTTGAGCCTCCTGATAAATCGGATAAAGTGCCTGACATCTGTTTTTCAGGAGAGAGTAAACCAGTTAAGAGGCTGCTGGGTGCTCAAAGCTTTTATTTTAAAAGCAAAGAGCTTGCAACACATGAAAATAAAAGCCTGATAGACGTTTCATAGACCAGACAGAGATTTTTTGGGAAACTGGATCAGGCAAATGGGCCAAAAGAGGAAAATTTTAAGTGAAAAAATACCCTATTGTCCTCATTGCTGCATTTCTTAAGAAGGGGACAAAAAAAAAATCGTTAAGCAGAGAATGCGACTGGAATGACAGCAGTTTGCCCTGGAGAGGAATATGGAGCAGAAAGAATTAGGGGCGGGGGAGAAGGTCAGAGAAAATAGTGATGCAGGTATTTTTCCTGAGCCAAGTCCTGCAGTTACTATGCAAGTGTTAACCTAGTATAGACTGGTTCCCTCAACCCTATGTGGTTACATGAGTTGCATTTAACTTTACATATCTATAACACAGGTTACCATAACTTCAGTCTAGAGAAAAGACAACTGATGGAGAGGGGCTTTTTACTGTGGCCATAGGGTAGAGACAAGAAGCAACTGACTCAAGCTGCAGCAGAGGAAAGTTATGTTGGAGATTAGGAGGAACTTGCTGATTCTGAGAGTGATCAAGTATTGGAACAGGCTGCCTAGAGAACTGTAACATTTCCATTCTTGGAATTTTTCAAGAGCAGGTTAGAAAGACACTTGGCTGGGACGGTTTAGTCAGAGATGGTCCCGCCTTGAGCAGGGGGCTGGACTAGATGACCTCACGAGATCCCTTCCAGCCCTACTTTCCTATGGTCCTGTGATTTAAGATTTTGCCATTCCAGACATACGTGACACAAGTACCCTTTTGGAAAGCCCCTTTCAGAATGATTTTAAACTGCTTCAATTTCAGTTTGTACACTGCCCATTACAATTTTTGGAAACACATGACTACCCTCTAAAAAAAAAAACAAAAAAACAGTAAGCCTCTCAGGTGATCAGTTTTACCTTGCCAGGTTCACTTCAATTTATTCCAGACCCTAAAAGTCTGGCGTTCCCAACATTTTTAGGTACCATCTCTGCCAACTAGACAAATGCAGCTTAAAACAGAACACTTCCCAAATACTTGCTTTTCAAATGTAAGGAAAAGTCCTTCACTTTCAATTTTTTTTAACATGTGGTTCTAAATGTCATAGCAACAGAAATCTGATGCTTCCACCTAGTCTTTAACTTGTCTTTACTGTAAACAAAAATCTGGCCAATAAATTCTGGGTAAAAACTAGGGCAGACTGTCTGGTGAACAAATACACAGCGAGGCTGAGAACAACAGATGCCTGAAAGGGACTGTCAGAGTTGATTGCATTAAAGCAGGGTTGGGGGTTTTTGTTTGTTTGTTTTTTTAAATGAAGCCCCTATCCTCATGAAATAATTCTTTTTAAATCTGGAAGAGTTTCAATGTAATTTCCCCTAATGTTGTTTATAAAAATTCTCTGTTTTAGGGGAAAACTCCTCCCCTCCCCAAACCCACAGTACTTACCTCTGCTCTTTTAAGCATTTCCCATTTATTGAGAATTTTCATGGCATAAATGCGCTCTGTGCACTTCATTTTAACAACTGCAACCTGTAATAATAAATTAAATGTGTTTAATCAAAGAAAAAATAGTAATAGTTATTCAAATGCAAGATAAATGGAAGCATGATTTTTAAGGAGTAAATAGTCAATAACGTTAACTGAGCTTATCACTTACCACTCAATGTCTTTGCTTTATTTTCCCCCTCATTACTACATGATACATAGTACCCCCATGTGTGGTCAACTCTTCACAATCAAATAGATGGGGGATGGTACAAGAGAAATATGAAGCCTTTCATATGAAGATGTGCAGTAAAGCTACATTGTTTGTCAGGAACAAGCAATGTTTGTATATCATGCCCTCAGCCAGTACAAGATCATTTAAAAGGGCAGCCACAGAAAACAAGAAAAGCTGCTATCCAAACTAAAAACAAAGTCTCCAGAGAGAAATATGCTGCTATAGCCAGAAACCTCAAAAGATAGATATCTGCATGTGATAAACCTTACAATGCTGCACACTGCTCTATAAAAACTGAAACAGCAATTGTAAACTTGCTTACTATTTTAATTGCAGAATTGTACCCTGTATGCTATTCATCAAAGACTCATTCATAATATTCCATCTTGGGCCTGTCACTAGTACAGAAAAATCACATGCTAAGTTGTCTTTAAAGTGAAGGAATATAATTATGTTTGGGAAATACAAAGGCTACGTTGGAGGCAAGACTTCTCAAAAAAATTCAATTTCCTTCAGGCCAACAAGAATTCTTCCTAGATGGAGACTTCCACCTCTAACAAAATTCAAGAGTTAATTTTGGGGGGAAAGTTCCCATTTTGCTCTCAACCCCAATGTCTACTACAGGCAACCTTCTCTTCTTAAGTCTGCAGGTGAATTGCGTGGGTCACGCTGCTGCTGCTCACAGGTTTCATCGGTTTGAGACGCATAAAGGTGAACCACGACTGTCAGTTTTCACCACTGCCAACAGAGATCTTAACAGGAACACTAGAAACTTGGGAGAAAAATCTGGTTTGCTTAAAAAATACGTTATTATGAGCAGGAACGGCAATTAGGCACAGAGGTTATCTCAGAAAAAAAACGACTAGAAGATGAGGCTGGGCTAGTATAAGACAACAACACTTTTCATCACAAAACACAGAAGACTGAGGAAGGGAGAGCTGCAGACAAGCCCACCCTTCACAACCAGGAAGCTGCAGGCAGGGGGAGAAGAGAAGCTTTGCAGCCAGGACTCCTGAGAAGACTCCAGCCAAGAACCCTTCAAAAAGTCTAACTAAGAGCCTTTCAAAAAGTCCAGCAAAGTCACCTCAAAGAGGTCCTTGCAAATCAATGATTGCTATGTACAATATATTAATGTAGCTATATTACTCATCTATAATTGATCAAGTACAAAATTCTACGGTATTTTTGGTGAAAATAGGGTATTGGGCCTTAGTTCAGGAACCAATCCCCCATTTATAACATTGTTTCTTATGTGAAAATTCGTTCCGAGTTACAACGTTTCAACTTAAGACACGGTTTTCAGGAACCAACTGTGTTGTAAGTCTGAAGACTGCCTGTACAGTAGATGGTCCAATCCATTTTTTTAAAATCTGCTCATCAGGGCAAAGCCTCAAGCTAACAACTGTTTTAAGCACTGGTTTTAGATACAGACAAGCTCATTTCACCTGGCAGTAAAGAGTGAAATAAGTCCAACTCAACCTGTCATTGGTTGAATACCTCACCTGGACAAATGTTTAGACTAGAAATTAGGTGATACTGAAAGTGTTTATTAGCAAATATATATATATTCTAACACCTTTAAAAATATTTTAGCTGGTTACTGGCAACCATAAATGGACAGCCCCAAATCTTACCAGGGTCAGCTTACCCACTTAAGGGTATTAAGTCCTGTTTTCACTAGCATTAGGACAAAAAGAATAGCTAAAACAGTTTAATTAGTCTTGTGTTCCTGGAACTAAACCTCATTTTCACATCCTCTCCTAGTACATGGATAGGACTCTCTTTAGAAAACTGTTTAATTGAATCAATTTGCTGGATAGGGTTGAAGGGACAACATGGATTAAACTATAAGGAAAAAGTTTTGCAAAGCTGAAAGAGAGGTGAAACTGCCCATCCTTATATTTTTAATTCCTTTCACACTAAACATTCTTGAGGAAAAGGTAAGATCCAATCTGAAAGTGGCTACCTACTGCTGGAGAATTACAACCCTAGGACAAAATTTAGTTTTTCAAAGCCAGGCAGAAGTAGTAGCATGCGAGTCTCCAAGTATAAGCCTTTCATTCTTATACCTTGGACAAAATATCAAACATCTACTGAGTCACAACTTGTGCCAACTTGCGCCACATACAGATCCAAATATGTTCGATAGGTTTGAACTAGACTTTATCTGAACGCCTTGCATCTTTTAAACTCCTCTCAAAACTAATTGTGCAAGGTACTGTGGCGGATTTGTAAGGTTGCAGTGGTTTAAAAAAAAAAAAAAAGTTCAAGTCTGTTCCAAAAAGGTGAAAAAGGGCAGGAGGCAAAGCAATGTTACAACCTGGTATGCTGTTCAGAACAGGGAAAGAAGGCTGAAGGCAATGCAGTTTAAGGGCAATGAGTCCCTCACCCCTCTCAAACTCATGCCATGGTCCTATTACACATAGAAGCCACAAGGAATTTATTCAGCTCAGAATCCATGAGGAGGGAAAAAAGTGGAAACCATAGTGTCATGATAAACTCTGTGCTATTCATCTAAGAAAAGCATAGCTTCATATGGAGCACTGCTGACACTACTGAGACCATGACAGGAAAACTACCTGCTCCATTCCTTTTCTTATGCAATAGAACAATAAAAATTATCAGGCTTATGCACCTCACTATCAGGGATCCTGCTTTTCTCCGATTTAAAAAAAATCTCCAATTTTCAGATTAAAATAAAGTAACCCAAATCCACATTTTTCCGTGATTAAAATTAAACACCACTATATGTGTGTGCGCGCATATGCCTCATTTTAGATCATAGGAAAATGTGGATTTGGGTTACTTTTTTAAATCCAAAAATTGGGGATTTTTTTAAAATCGGAGAAACCAGGATCCCTGCTCATTATTTAGGACTTCTATCCACTCCCCATCCCTGCTGCATTGTTGGTACCCATCTCTTATAATTAACCAGGGTTTCAAACATTTTAACAGCTGTTGCCACCAATAAAAACAATATTATTAACCTATTTTAGGGTTCTGTTAAGCTTCTTTAAGCTCTAAAGGAATACTGCTGTAGTTATTTGGAAGATGTATGAATTATCGCCTTTGCTCCTCTCTCTCCTGCATGTCTAAAAATTCCATTAAAAGCTAACTGTACATAAAAACACACACATTTTGATAGAAAAGGAAACAGAGATCGATTCCACTATACCATGGGTGTCAAACTCATTTAGCTCTGGGGGGCCAGTCTGTGGGCTGGACTAGAACTAACCCACTGCAGCATGCCTGCAGCACTGGGTCCTACCTACATGCTGCATGTGCTAGTCCCCAAGATCTGCATGGGGTGTGTGCTGCCCATGGCACATGAGCTGGACTTAGTGCCGCAAGCAATAATGGGGGGCACTATGGGGTGCCATATACAACTGGTGCCCCAGACTCCCTGTGCTGCAAGCAGTACTGGGTCCAGTCTGTACACTGCAGGCAGCCCCAGGGGTTGGCTGGTCCTGCACATGGTGTGTGAGGCTGAACCACCGACGCGTACTGCACACAGCATAGAGGGTTAGCATGGGGCATGCACTCCATGCAGAGCCCTGATAACTGATCCTGTGCACTGGCTCCAGGTCCGGTGGGGTCCTGCAAGGAGTGCACACCCTATGCTGGGCCTGTTCTATGTGTTGCACATGCTGGCCCATGGACCCAGCAGTGCATGCGACACAGAGGGTCCAGGGAGCAGGTGGCATGCAGTGTCCCACACCAACCTCCTGTGCTGTCTATACAGCGTGGACTGGGCCAGTCCAGTGACACATGGGCTGGATCACACCTTCACGGGCTGGATCTGGACCACAGGCCACATGTTTCACACTTTTGTGCTGTAATGTAACTGACAAACGTTACTGTTAGTTGGAAAACTATATTCTAGACTAACAGTGAGAGAAGTCACTTAATGTCAGAGCTAGTAGACCATACACCAGTAGTTGGTACGATGTGAGGAAAAGCATCAAGGTTTATTTTTCTGAGGCCTTGCTGAGGCTCCCCCATACTGCTGCAGCTCCCTTTTTACATTAAGAGGTAAACTACACCATGAAAAAATCCTGCTGCTGAGCTTGGCTCTCACATTTTTCCATGTCTTCAAAGGTTAAAAAAACCAAAAACCCTATCTAACCACCCTAATAGAAGCACCTTATAGAACAATGTACAAGACTGGAGTTCATTACAACTCCTAGTCCTCATTTCCAGGGCATTACTACAGCAACTTAGTTTGCAACGAAGAGGGGACTTCCCTGTTAGGCTTCAAAAATTCTCTAAAGCAAGCCCCATTAATGCCAACATGCAATCATGAAAATGGAGAATCAGGTTTTCTGTACTATATGACAAGCAAATGTTTCAGAGGAGAATTTTCTACTGAACTATCAAATGATCTAGCTCAGCAGCGTCCAATTTTTTTGCCCTGCAGGGTAGGGCTTAGAAAACTGGCAGCAGGGAGGGGTGACAATGTTAACCGCCACCACTCCTTCACTACCCAATTTCCTGACCCATAGGGAGCCCTGTGGACTGGGTGACATGGCTCCACGGGCTAGCTTTGTTTCACAGACGTGGAGTGGCGTACCCCTGGTCTAGCTGAACTCTGCTGTTCTGCTGCTGGAAAGTGCAAGCAAAGAAAATTTCAGGCAGCTGGCACATCCCTGTTTCTTTTACCTCAACTATTGCAATACATGGCTATTCAAATATTGCATACTGAAGGCCGGGGAAAGGGGCCGCTCCGAGTGGAGAGGATGCTTCACCAGCATGCAGAGTGACAAGAGAAAGGGACGCCCAGGTAAGCAACAATGTCCTGGGAGTAGGGGGG